CCAAAGTGCTGGGATTACAAGCGTGAGCCACCGCGCCCGGCAGATTTCCTCAGCTTTATCTTCTAGCTTTTTTACTGAGATTTTTTTCAGCAATCATATTTTTCATGTCTAAGACCTCTACGTTTTCTGATTGTTCTTTTCTCGTAGCATACTATTCTTGTTTTAAAAATCTCTTATTTTCCTCAATTTTGTCTTTTCAATGGGGTCGTTTTTTCTGTTTCATGCTGCTTGTTTTCCAAATATAGGTAGCTTCTTTGCTTGTCTATTTATATGTAAGAATGAAGGACTGAGTAGCAGGAGTGCATTTTCTTTCCCTCTGTCATTGTTGAAGGGGGCAAGAGCTTTGACTGGAAGCTCTAAGTACATGGGCAGGGCACACCACCTGGCAAGCTTTGCTTTGAGGATGAGTGAGTGCAGTGCTGGTGGCTAGACTTTGAGCCCCCTTAGGCCAGAAAGGGAGTGGTGGGGGTGTTCCTCTAAGATATCCCCATTAGAGACCTCAGTTCTCTAACAGTTGATTAAATTTCTTTGGAAAAGAATCCTTCAGGGTGTGTTGTATGAGTTGAGTAGGGGAGTAAAGGAACTGAGTCTTATAAACATGGGTCATTGTTTAATCCCATTTATTCAGCCCTGCTCCTCACTTCATCTTCTATTAAATGTGCCCACTTCAAGCCAGGGTCTCTCTTGGGTCACTCCGGCTAGATAAGCCCCCACCTCCAGTCCAGTTCTCTCATGGCATATTCTAGACCTGTGCCATCCAGTTGAATAGCTACTAGCCCTCTGTGGTTATTGAGCACATGAAATAGGCAAGTCTGAGTTGAGATGTGCTCTAAGTGTAAAATACACATGGATTCTGAACACTTAGTACACACACAAAAGAAGGCTGGGCACGGTGACCCATGCCCGTAATCCCAACACTTTCAAAGACTGAGGGCAGGCATATTGCTTGAGCTCAGGAGTTTGGGACCAGCCTGGGCAACTTAGCAAAGTGTCATCTCTACCAAAAATACCGAAATTAGCTGGGCATGGTAGCCTGCACCTGTAGTCCCACCTACTTGGGAGGCTGAGGTGGGAGGATGGCTTGACCCCAGGAGGCGGAGATTGCAGTAAACAGATTGTATCACTGCACTCCAGCCTGGGAAACAGAGCCAGACCCTGTCTCCAAAAAAAAAAAAAAAGAGAGAGAGAGAGACAGCAAGGCTGGGCACAGTGTACACCTGTAATCCCAAACTTTGGGAGGCCAAGGCAGGGTGGATAGCTTGAGCCCAGGCGTTTGAGAGCCTGGGCAACATGGCAAAACATGTTACCAGCCTGGTCAGCATGGCAGAACCCTGTCTCTACAAAAAATATAAAAATTAGTTGGGCACGGTGGCACGCACCTGTAGTCCCAGCTACTCAAGAGGTCAGAGAATTGCTCCCAAATAGCGGGGACTACAGGTGCGTGCCACCTCCTGAGCCTAGGAGGTTGAGGCTGCAGTGCCATGATCATGCCACTGCCCTCCAGCAGCCTGGGTGACACAGCAAGATGCTGTAGTAATAAAAGAAATGAAAGTAAAACATCTCAAAATATTCATTATATGTTAAAGTGATAGTTTTTGCATGTAACAAGTTAGGTAAAATAGAATTTTAAAATTAATTTCATCTCTTTTTAATGTGGCTACTGGAAAATTTTAACTTATATGACTCATATTTCGTCTTTTTTTTTTTTTTTTCGGAATTTCACTCTTGTTGCCCAAGCTGGAGTGTAATGGCACGATCTTGGCTCACTGCAACCTCCACCTCCCAAGTTCAAGTGATTATCCTGCTTCAGCCTCCCGAGTAGCCGAGATTACAGGCGTATGCTACCATAGCTGACTAATTTTGTATTTTTAGTAAAGACGGGGTTTCTCCATGTTGGTCAGGCTAGTCTTGAACTCCTGACCTCAGGTGATCTGCCCACCTCAGCCTCCCAAAGTGCCGGGATTATAGGCGTGAGCCACCACACCCAGCTGTGACTCATATTTCTATTGGAAAGCGCTGCTCTAGACAATGGCTGTTTCTTCATCTGTCAACATGTCTTTATCTACTTTCTGAATTTGTCAGAATCAATTGTGCACTGATGACCCTCACTCCCATTTTTTTTTTTTTTCGCTGATGCAGATTTATTTTCTATTTTCATATACTCACATGTAGGGTAGAG